AAAAATGAGTTTAGTAGGAGACACTCTGAAATTGAGGTGTCTCAGAGTCTTCCAGTCAACGTACCCATTACAAAGTACTGCATATGGCTGTGGAACACAGGAGGGAAATTCTGGATTAGCAGATTTTGGAAGTGTTGATATTTAGAAGATAATTAATTTTATAGGAGTAGATGATATTAACTATGGAACATGTCAACTATGATGAGTACCTGAGGATAGCGTTCTGAAGAGTAAAACTATTTCCTTCCTTAATTCAACATCATTTATAAATGCAACTAATGTCAGCACCATGCCAGGTGCTGGCTATGTAGAAGTGAACAAATATGATATGGTCACTGTCACTTTAGAGTTTATCTGAAGCTCATTTAAGAAAGATGTAACCATCAACATTTTAAAATCTTTGACTCTCAGACCAAGGAAAAACACTTATCAGTGCATTTAGGATTTATGCTTTAGCCTGGCTCCTGAAAAATGTGAGTCACAAGAGCATAAAAACCTTCCTTTCAAAGACTTTCAAACAAAATTTGTTTTCAAATTGACACTAAAGATATTTGGGCATAGATATCATTCTGGATGATTCTACTAAAAATGAATGCATCTTGAGATCTTTTATTCATTGTTTCCTTTACTCTTTCATTTAACAAATAGTTATTGAATAGCTTTTATTCACTAGAACAAGGATAAAAAAGTAAAGTTCTGCTTCCAAGGAGCTCATACTCAAAAGGGAGATGTAGGAATTTAAATGGCTAATTATAGAGTCTGAGGTATGAAGGTTTTGGGGAAGACAAGTTAGCAAACTAAAGTTTCTGTTATGGAGGAAAACAGGTATAGAGACTTCAAAGAGCACGTTAAATTTACTCTGAGACTTGATGGCTGAATAAGGTTACACCAGATAGGAGAGGGTAGAGGTGAGGTAGAACAAGAAGAAAAAAATAAAAGCTTGGCAGGAAAAGAAGATCCAGGGTCTAATTACTGACATTGTATTGTTATAGCTCAAAAATTATAAGAGTGATTTCATATTAAAAATAGATGATCAACTGTGGAGTGAGCAAACAAGCTTGGAATTGATAAAAGGAAAATGAGGGGTAAAATGATCTGAGGTTTTCATCCTGGGTAAGTGGGAGAGTAATTGTTAACAACCAAGGTGAAGTAGGTTTAATGAAAATATATGAACTTTTGTACATGTTGAGTTTGAGGACCAGAATTCTTTTCAGATTTTATTAAATATTTTAAAGGTAGGATACAGCACAATGCATGTTGTGCCATGTTTTTGCTATTTGATATTTGTTATCTATTGTTTCAGTGAAGAGCATTGGAATCATTTAATTTATAAATAGTGTAATTTATAAGATCAAGCACACCGACTTGTCACAGTGAAGAGAGTTCTGGACTTTTAAAAAACCAATCTCATCTCCACTACTGGGGAGCTATGAAATCTTGAGGAAATCATCTCAGATCTACAAATGCAGAATTTAAATAGTTGTAGTAGTTAGGCAAGCAACATCAAACCATGAAAATGAAACCAAATGAAA